CAATGCTAAAAACATCGGTAGCGTGAGTCAGTTAGAAATGATTTAAACTTAAACACTCATCCAGGGGTTTAGCTAACGTTAGTCATCAAGTTCGTAGCTCACATATTACAGTAGCATACTTGTCATTGTCCATGGAATTTAAAGCGTGTTGAAGGAAAAAATACTTCAATTTTCTAACATCTTCGATTGACATGTGTCAAGTGTTACACAGTTATATTAGTTGTCATTGTATTAATCGGAAATAAAACGCGCCTTTTAAGGTCTATTCAAGACTTCAAGCGGTTTATTGTCGATGCGTACATAGCTACAGTAGTTATGTTCGATGAAAATCTTAGCTCGGAGCAGGCTCCTGCAACGAGAGCAAACCACAATAACCAGATACAATAGACAGCAGGGGTGAGGCAACCTTTTTGATATGAAGTGCCATTTAAAAAAAAAATTGTTATCAGCGTTGCCAAGATGCATTGTGTTTGTGGATGTAGAGCGACAGTGGAGGGAACGGTGTGTATGTTTCTGAAGTGAAAACAGGAAGCAGAAAACAGGTTTGTGATGTATTTTGTGAAACAGGAAGATACAGCTAAATACGAATGCAACGGGGCCTCCCAGAGAGAGGCTCCGCCCTCTCTCCCAGTCATTTAAGCTAAAGTGGGTTATTGACCTGGATAGCTTGTTGCTTTCTGGCCCTCCTCGACTACGTCTGGGAAGCCGACAGAGGAAGTTCAACACACAGATGCCAGTCCGCCCCGTTTCTGTCAGCATACTTATTTGCGATGAGACGATGACAGATCGCCACTGGCTTTCAACTAAGATACCACAGCCACGCAAAAAAACTGCACGGCATTTGTACAGTCCTTAGGCACTAATTAATGAAGTGCTTGCCGCTGGTGAAACGATCAGCACTGCGCACCGCACGGGAGGAAAGCGGCAGAAAGTCACCTGGGATTCAAGGAGAGCGGCGGCTGCGGTTGGTGAGTGCTGATGGCTCCTTCTGCGCAGGTAACCGGGAGACCGCTCTGGCGGGCGGGTCTCGTTCAGGATCCGAAAATACAATTTAAAGTCATGTTGCCTTTATTCCACCGTATTCCTACGTGGTGTGCAACTGGGGTTACGTCGTCCGCGTCCAATGCTCTGGCACGGCGTGCAGGGGTTGCCGACCGCCGCAATAGAGCAACGCTAAACACAATAAAAATAGTGCCATTGAGAGTTATACAAGTGTATACATCATTTGTAAGTGCACCACAGGTTGAATGTTATGGGATGTCTTAGTTCAGGTGTGTTAACAGTGCCTTATGGCCTGTCGGATGGAAACTTGGCCCAGAGTCTGGGTGGGTCAAGTACACCACACGTACTTGGTAGTGATTTAGGGTGGGTAGAGCAGAGACAGAAACGTGCGTTTTCAAGGGAGAAACACCTGCTCGTTCCACGCGACAATATTGTTTATACAACACCTAAAAAAACTTGCCTCAGCGGCCTGAAAGTAGGCACCCGCCGAGTACGCCCAAGCGACGCTTCCTCACGTTTACCAGGCTTAAAAGATGCCAGGCATTGTGTACGGCCACTTTAGCCATGCTAAAGTGTGGTTGCTAAATAAGCCAAAGCATACATTTTCGAATTCAGGTAGACCTCTCGACACAGCTTCCATTTATGTACGAATGTACGTTGTCTCACTTTTCCTTGGTCGCGAGTTCCACTTCCCAAATGGAGCTGCAGTTTGGTTAATCTCAAAGATCTCCTTCCAGTTTGTCCTCCTTCAGATTCTGCGTTGCCTGCCGAAGCTACTGGGAGTTGGCAGGCTGAAACGTGTCTCTCAGGCTCACTCACTCCACCTGCGCTGGGTGAGCAAACGTTATTGAGGTAACGTGCTGCTCCATGTGCCTGTGAGCCTATCCTCTGCCGCTCAAGGGACGATGCAGGGGAGTTGACAGTTTCAGGGTGACAAATGCTTCCGTTAAAACCCCTAAGTGCTTGCGCAATCTACGCAGATTCA